CAGAATTAGTCATGCACATGTCTATGTATAGTGCATAAGTGTCTATGTCAATTTTTTTCCTCCTGATCATTTCTAGCCCGTATAACCTTATATAGACTTTCCGATACCGCGGTCACAATAATATTTACAGCGGTTTACGAAACCGCGACTAAACGCGATATTTTTTTTCCGCAGTCATAATCATGCTCACCCCGGTTTATGGAACAGCGAATAACCGCGATATATGATACCATGGTCACAATTATATACACCGCGATTTGCTTTGAACGCGGTGATAAAAAAACGCGGTTAATCGCGGTCTTTTCAGTGACACGCCGCGGTGTTATGTCAGAGAACCGCGGTTTTATTCCAAAAATTTTTCCGTCGGTGTTTCATAAAAAAAAAGATTTGGATTTTTTTCTTAGGAGTAGCATCTTTAATGATTTCTGTAGATTATATCCTTGCAATGAATTGATTGATTATTATTTTTATTAGATTAGTTCTGTTGTTAGATAGCGAAGATTCAAGAATTTTTTTGATGAATTCATATTAAGAAAAATGTGACTGTTATGATATGCCATCTATATCATTATATATGTTCATCCCTTCTGTTATTTTTCTCTTCTTTGTTCTTCTCTTTCTTTCTTCCCTTCTTTTCTTTTTCTCTTTTCTTTTATTTTGATGCTATATATATATGCTCTCGGTATATTAATGATAGTGATTCTTAGATTTAAAGAAATAAACAAACATTTATGTGCTGCATTATTCGAACCCATTATTTGCCATTAAAACAAGTATATTAGAAGTAGAACATAACAGTGGTGACATCAGTGATTTAATTATATATCAACGTCGAATTACTTATTCTTTATTATTATTAGTTTGGGGACATCCTTTGTTATAGGTTTGTATCTGTTGTTTCCATTATATTTATTTATATGGTGTGTTATTGAATACTAGATCTAATTTGGATTTACACGCAATTTCTATTTTTTGAATTACAATATACATCTTCTCGTCAACAAACAAAAAATATATTAGTCTCTTCATTCAATCTTATTACAACTTACCAAGAATAGTTATAATGACAGTTGATTATCTACCACTCATTCCTGATTCTGATCTAGACAATAAAATTGATCATTCATTCAATGTCCTTGAACAATGTTTGACTATATATACACCAAATCAAATAGCAGTTGCATTCACTGGTGGTAAAGATTGTACCGTAGTTTTACACCTGTTTTCATTAGTATTAAGTAAAACGTTTTTACATGCCAATAAGAAACCACTATTTCGTGGTTTATTTATTCATAATAAACCACAATTCGATGATGTTTTACAATTTATTGATGAAAGTGTCAAACGTTATCAAATAGATCTTATTAAAATTCAAGGTCGAATGAACGATGCATTAAATCAACTGAAATCTACTCATCCTGATATTCAATGTATTATAATGGGTACGCGTCTAACTGATCCATATTCATCAAATTTAATGGATTTTTCACCAACTGATCCAACATGGCCTGCATATATGAGATGTAATCCCATATTAAATTATTCGTATAACGATATATGGACATTTTTGAGAAAATTTGATGTTTCTTATTGTCGAATGTATGATCAAGGTTTTACATCTTTAGGTGACAATGAAACAACAATTAAAAATCCAAGATTACTATATGAAAATGATGAAACAGGTTTAATGGAATACAAACCAGCTTATTTATTAGAAGATGAGATCAGCGAACGAGATGGACGTGTACGATAAATCATAAGATAAATTATTATGAAAGCTTCTTTCTCATGTGTGATAATTTATTGTTGAAGAAAATTAATAATTTAGTAAAAATTTTATTGAAAATGATCCATAGAATGCTTCAACTAATGAAAAGAAAAACAAATTATTTTTTCATTTATTTATTTCTATGCTTTTGGGCATGATGTTAACCGTGTATTGTATTTTCTTGTTTTCCTTTTGCTGATATTATGATGATGTCAGTTAGTTTCTTGTTCTCTATAAAAAAAAGCTTTTTTCTTTGTATCAAAAAGCTTTTTTCTTTGTATCAAAAATTTTTTTTCTCTATGGGGTAGGGTGTTATGATATGCCATCTATATCATTATATATGTTCATCCTTTCTGTTGTTTTCTTTTTCTTTTATTTCTCTTTTTTTTTTCTTTTGGTGTTATATATGTATGCACCTCGATATACTAAAGGTGGTGATTCTTTAATTTAAAGAAATAAACAATCGTTTATGTTCCGCACTATTCGAACCCATAATTTGCCGTTAAAACAAGTATATGAGAAGTAGGACATAACAATGACAAACTTTTATCACAATATTATTTTTATTGCTTCTGTTATAATCATTTGAACTAGAAGTCTCTTTTAGATAGATATTTTCTTTTGTAATTATTCAATCGAAATATTCTGTCCTTACTGATCGTATTGGAGTAAATACCTCAATAAATATAGTCGAATAAGCTATTTTTGAGTTATTTCTTCGTAGTTTCTCACTTTTTTTAAAAAACATTCTCCACCAAGATCTCTTGACATGACGAAAAAATATTTTATGGCTAATCTATATTATATTTTACAAGTGTTCTTCGTCAGGAACGTTCACATGATTGGTCACAGAGCGAAAAAAAGTATACATATATATATGTACGTCGTATATGTTCATTCATTATGCATGTATATATTTCAGTCATATTGTATTTTTTTACTTTGCTGTCTTTTTCTACGCGTGCAGCAGCAACACATTATAGAACTTTAACTTATTTATTTATTTTGTTACTAACTGACGACCAACAATTTAGTCCTTACAGTATACAGATTAAGAGAAATAAAAAATAGAATTAATAAACAAAAGAAAAGAAAAAATTACACTTAATTTAAATAACAGCAAGTGGCACATATTACAGTTTGTGTAATAAAATTGATTAACTCGATATCATCACTTTTGAAAATTTTTTTAAATGGCAGATATTAAATAACAAAAATGAAAAGAATATATGAAAATATACCGGAAAAGAAATTGTAGAAATATTGTTGTGTTAGGCGGTGACTTTCGGCAAGTTCTGCCCGTTATTAAAAAAAGATCTGGATGTGCCAATATTTCTTCAACAATAAAAAAATCTTCTGTTTGGTCTCTTTTTCAAACATTCAAATTAAAACGCAATATGCGAGCTATTACAGATTCTGATTTTCCTAAATGACTTTTAGATATTGGCGATGGGATGATACCTTTACCACCAACACCTAAAACTCAATTTTCAGTTGAAGTTCGGATTTCTTTAATATCTAATGATATAGTTACCGATATTTTTGCTAATAGTTTTACCTGTACTGATATTGAAAACTTTTCAAGACGTTCAAGTCTCCTTATACTAGATGTTCAAGAGCAACAGAATCTAATTGTTTAAAAATTCAAGTAAAAGACACCACTAGACAGGGCAAAACGGATAATGGGCAAACTGTAACAGATGATGTTATTTATCGGGAAATTTTTTCATGAATTTCATATGTTTATTTTTGAGTTTATTACTATAGTAATATTTTTATTTAATAAATCAAATACTAATCCAAATTTTTTTATTAAATCAATTTTTCCTATAATCTTAAAGTCCAACTATTCACAGGGGCCTCTAGTATTAGATAGAATTAAGTTGTAGTAAACTGAAATCCGAAACAATTGACATTCGATTTCAGAGATTGTATAATAGGGAGTTGCGAATACACGTTTTTGTAGATCCGAACTTAGTTGAGTTCATAGCCTAGATTTTTTTTTTCAACAAGATCTGTCATTAAAATTGTAAAATCAGCAGTAACACAAAAATGATTAGTCGTATAGCAGAGTTTTAGTCACATTTAAGTCAAAGATATCAGACTTATGAAAAGAAAAATGGTGTATGATAGGGTGACTATGGATCTTCTCTATTTAGATTAGAAATAGAATTCAAATTGACTCGAAAAATTAATCTATATATAGAGTCAGACCCGACAAAAAAACAGAAAACTTTGAATCCAGATTTCGTCGAATGTGTAGCCAGTCATACGTCTAGAAGGATTCGCAGCTCTCTATTAAATGAAGATCATGCAATATCGAATTAAAAACATTCGTCAACCCTTTTTTAATTGAAAAGCAAGAAATAATTTTCGTTGCATGGTGTATCTTGCGTGCTTCCGATAGATTCACTAATATTATAGCTTTTGACTTGAAGTAAATTGCTCATGAAATGTTTAATGATATTCTTACTTTTAAATTTTAGCATATCTATTTCCATTCGGTGCATGATTATTTGGTCTTGTCGATCATTTTTCTCTTTTACTTTCATGTATTTGTTCAATATCAATTATTCTAAGTCTTTATGTCCTATTTTTAATAGTTCAACAAATTCTTCTTATAACAGATAGTCAAACATGGTATGAATATAATAAAAATATTTACATATATAATATCGGAAAGAGTTTTCAATCCAATTTACAACTTGTCTTCAGTAAACGATGGTATTCATTATTATTTATTGCTCCTATATCATCACAACCGCTTGGTGATGGTATGTAATATGATATAAATAAAGTTGAAACAAGTCATACACAATATAATGGTAAAAACGCATTTAAATACAAGTCAAAACGAAAAAAAAATGATTTCTTTGTTTTCTTTGTTGTGTTTTATTTACGATAATTTGTTAATTTAATAATTCAATATAGAATTTCTTTTTTTAAAATTTGTTTCAGATGTCTCTTCCAGGTTCACAACGTGTTTCTGGTACTGATGGCAGTGATTTTCATCATCGTGAACGTATAGCTACACATTATTGTGTTAGTGCAGAAACAAAATCGTGTCTTCGATTATTAATTTATCTTCATTTTATTCTTGCTTTTTTAGTTCTTTTTTCAAATACCAGCATATCATATACCATTAATAAAAACAATAAATGTTCCACGACCACAATTATGGTAATATATATGAATCATTAGTATTTTACCATCAATTTGTGATCTTATATCAATGAATAAAAATCATGGTTTTTTAATGAAATTATTTTTCCGTGATACAGTTACATTTGGTTTAGGTACAATAATGACAACAATTATACTTAATATAAGTGATTTATTTACTTTTAAAAAATTAAAATCTAGTCATCAATTAGATGAAGTTGAACTACAAACATTTCTTGGTTTTTCATTATTAATACTTTGGCATATATTTTTGATTATAATGGTGCAAATACATGCATTCAGTTTATATATGGCTAATATTTTATTACATAGCTGGCAACAATATAAGATAATCAAACAGAATTAAACAATTATTTAAAATTTGAATAATCCCTGTGTGTGATTCATTTTTGTGCAATTCTGTTCTTCAGTTGATTTAGTATTAAATACCGAACGGAAATATACGAAAAAAAAAGAAAAAATAAGACAAGAAAGAAATCATTGGTTTTATTTTTATCTTGAGATTCATGTCCTTGAAGATGAAGATATTTTAAGAGATATTGAAACTTGAACAAATTTTGGTGAATTGCATGTAAGAAGCAGAGATACGATCGATTCGGTTTCGAAAAAAAACATACAAGAACTAATCTTGTCTCTGATGAGAAGAACACAGCTGATGATAAGACAGTATCACTTACAAAGTTTGTTATCAGCAAAATGGTTGAGTTATTAACAAAAACGAAAATGAAACATCATCGTAGCCTAAACCTTGGTGTTCGTTCTAATCATGGTAAATATGCTGAAGTATGTCTAAATGATGTGCCATTCTTTGAATTCATTCGCTCATTGCGAGAATCGAGACACTTATTCAATTTTTTATATCTATGATCAAAGAGAAAAAAAAGCATACTTGTATATTTCTGAAATATGTAGAAGTATAGAAATACCAAGAGATACTGATGAAATGGCAAATAATGTACAAAAAAATTGAATATTTTCTATAAGGTCAATATTTTTTGTTGTATATACGAATGTAGCTATGTGATAATAGTTTTGATCTAACGAATTATTGAAAAGTTCATTGAAATAGAAACTAAACTGATCGATTGCAGGATATCAAGTTAACTATAACTTTTCAGGATACTTACCATCGAGATGGAAAGTGTAGATTTCGAGATTTGAATGAATTTCAGTAAATTTCATGGAATTTTAAAAGACTGTAAAGATTTTATGAACCTTCAATATTTACAGTCGTAGAATCTGCAGTTTCGTCTTTGCTCGAGAGTTACATGTTATATTTTGAACTCGCTGAATAAGTTAGAAAGATTACAGATATCTGTTAGAAGTAGTTTTCGGACGATTTTAGGGAGCTTGTTAACTTTGAGTTTATCCGATCAGTGCATGTCAAACGAATTGTTTCAAAAGTCTCAATTATTGCACATCTTACAATTTGATATTGAACCACAAAGTAATTTTATAGTATAATGAATGTAAAAAAAAACTTGCTCTGACAAACCACATGAATGGTAACAAAACTATATGGGGCCAAAATTGACTTCAAGTAACTTATGGATTTGAACCCTTCTAAACATTTCATACTCCTATAGAGAATTATTCATATGAAATCAAATCTTGAAAAATTAGCATTTTTCGTTCATATAGTTTAGTCCATCATAATATCATAAACTTGTAATAAAAATGCTGTTTCACTGTAGTCAAGTACCGAATGTTTTCTTCTTATTGATGTAACATACAAAGAATTATTTATAACAAATCATTGCATGAATAACAATATATCTCATAAAATGATGAAAGCTTGTGTCTTCACTAACGTTTGTTTTTTTTTCAAATAGTATAATTTATTGCTAGTAATTCTAATCAGAAAATGTCATTTTATTGGCAAATATGTTGACATCAAAATGTCAATATGCATAGAAAAGTGATGATGAATTATTCTTACACTCGAACGAAACTCTTTCAAGAATAACATCAATCTTAGTGGATTGTTATCCTACAATAATAGCAATCAAAAAAACTGATGCCAATATTAATGTGCAAAAAAAGGTTTATTAAAGAAGAAGAGTACATATAATTAGCACAAAAAAAATCAGCTTAAAAAGGAAGTATATATGTAAGTCTATATTGTTGAATTGATTTGTGTATTTAAAAGGATTTACGATGAACAATTGATGAATCAGCTTCATCATATATTTGTTTTGAAATCTACATTTGTTGAAAGGTTGAAAGTGAAGCTAAGATTGAACCACCAATTCATACTGAATATTTACGTTCAGGTGGAGTAATGACTTTAATCTTCATGGTTGATGGAGCTAAAGCTGTTATTTCTTTTTGCATACAAGCAGCAATACCAGGATACATTGAAGTACTTAAATAAATTCGAAAAATAAAATAAAATAATTCTGATAAATTATTAATTTTACCTCCTGATAAGACAGTGTTAGCATATAAATCTTTACGAATATCAATGTCACATTTCATAATTGAATTAAATGTTGTTTTATGAATACCAGCAACTTCCATATCCTAGAAAACATTTATTCAATAAATTATAAATAAATACATAAAAATAAATCAATTGACATACCAAGAATGAAGGTTGAAAAGTGATTCTGGACAACGGAAACGTTCATTATCGATGTTAATAACTTGACCATTAGGTAATTCATAACTCTTTTCGAGTGCTGATGTTGATGCAGCTGTTGCCAGTCCTTTTTCGAAATCAACTACATCATAATATAATTTTTCCTTGATGTCACGAAGAATTTCACATTCAGCAGTTAAGACAAATGAATAACCACGTTCAGTAAGAATCTTCATTATATAATCGGTTAAATCACGACTAGTCAAATCAAGACGAAGGATAGCATGTGGTAAGGCATAACCTTCATAGATGGGTACATAGTGTGTAACACCATCACCTGAATCAAGTACAATACCAGTAGTACCACACTTGCTTAAAGAGAAAGTACAGCCTGAATAGCAACATACATAGCTAGAAAAACAATACAAATTTTTAATATATATTAAGAGTACTAATCGGAATATTTACCAGGTGAGTTGAATGTTTCAAACATAATCTGTGTTGTTTTCTCACGATTGGCCTTTAAATTGAACGGAGCTTCGGTTAAGAGTATTGGGTGTTCTTGAGGTGCAACATGAAGTTCATTGTAGAAAGTATGATGCAAAATTTTTTTAATATCATCCAAGTCAGTAATGATACCATGTTCAACTGGATATTTGAGTGTTAAAATACCACGTTTTGATTGAGCTTCATCTCCAACATATGAATCTTTTTTTACCCATACCAACCGTAGGGTGGGTATAGTTCTTACTCTTCTTATCATATCTACTAACACCCACACTCCTTGGGTGTAGCAAAGGCAAGGAAACGTTTTGCTTGGTAGAATAACATACATCAAAGATGAAACTGGTCTGGAGTTTTAAAGATCAGCACCGGTACCAGTCCAAATAGGTCTGACTAGATCAGACCGGCCAGTCTAATCATTTTATCATTACCAATTCTATCTTAGGATAGTGATGATTGAAGTAGTCAACTTCTACCAAAATTTTCTTATGTACTCTGCACAAGATAGCATTAAGATCAGCAAGTTTTTAACTAGTTTATGCGGCAGAAACAAGGAGAAAAGATAGGACGGCCAATAACTGGTACCAGTTTCATCTCTGATATACCCTACACGATTGGCACGAATAGGCAATGTCGAAATCTAGGCAGAATGGCAAGAAACATTTCTTTGTTGTCGAAAATGTTTACATACTTATTTCGTTTCATTTTCAAACGAATACTTGCTTTAAAATTGTAGGTGAATGAACACTTCGATGCACAAATAACGGAGTACTTTTTTCTTGCTCTCTCTCTCTCTTTCTTTCATTCGCACTCACTTGCCTGTGTGTGAAAATACAAGCATTTTTTCATTTTCTTGAAGAAAAAGTTGTTCTTTACTCTTTCAGCTTTGGCTTGATTCGAGCTGCTCCAGATAAACTTTCTCTATGAGATTGGAATCAGTTGCCAGGCTTTATGTTGATCAGAAATGACACGGGAGAAACTGCCTATGCATCGAACTATTTCGTTGGTTGCCAATTAAATGAAATTTTATGTTTTAAGAATCGTTTCTGCAACGATCAATATCGACCGTTGCATCTTGAAAGATCTAGAGAAATATGCGTCTCTAAGATCCTTGATTCTCGTCTTTTTGTCTCACCTATGGGTATGGGTGGGTGGGTGTGGGCGTAGTTGTTTGCATCTTCTATTCTCTTACATCCACATCTACATACCCACACAGGCAACGTCAATAAAAAAAATATTATTATATTTTCAACTAATAAGTTGATTTTTAAAATTAATTTTAAGCCAAAAATGAAATCAATAGGTTTGTATTGAAGAAGTTCCTTTTTTCCTAAATAATTTTAGATATAAGAAAAAAAAATTCTATTTGTTTCATAGCTTGTAGACAATCTTCACCAGTTATTGTATCAAAATATTCTTTTTTTCTTGTTCATCATCAATAGAAATTAGTTTAATTATATCCAACCACCATTTTTGTTTCGTTATTTGAAACCATTCAATGATCTTTCATATATCATTTTTACCCATTTTCGTGATAAATCATCTGGTGTTTCACTTCTTTCACATTGAATTGAAAAATCATTTTTGATGACATAATATTTGCATCAAATATTAATCGATGAGCAAGTTGTGGTTCAAGTTAATGTCGCATAATTTCAAATGGTATTGTAGGAAATGGTACACCAACAGCTAATTCTGTGACACTAATGCGAAATGGTTTTCGTGTACCTATAGCAATATAATCACATGCAAGAGTATGACCATCAAGTGAACAAGCAACTGGTTTTGAACAACAAAGAGGCACTGTTGCACCGCGGCTAATTGTATCGAAGACGAATTTATCAATTGTTGGTCGATGACGTTTAACACATCGTTCATGCATATCAGAAAGACCAAGACCAGCTGAAAATGTCGAACTAAATAAAAAAATCAATTATTATAACAGAATATTTTGTTTTATTGATAAATATCTAAAATTACAACGTAGATGAACACCTTTAATATGATCAATTTTTGAAGCATGATCAAAAGCTTGTTCAAGATCAGTGAGTAATCCAAAAGACATTGCATTAACTTTAGGTCTATTCATAGAAATAGTTAATATAGCATCAGCTAGTGAAACACTTAAATTTTTCCAATGTTGCTGTAAAGCTGCCATGATATGAAATCAATCTATTTCAGCTTTACTTTTGGTCAGTAGTAGACTTTTTCTTTATTTCGTTCCTATTGCTTGTATTCATCTACAAACTGGTTAATTATTAAACAGATGTAGCACATTGAAATACATTAGTTAAGTATTTATTTTTTCAACTTTTATTCTTTAATGTGTTCAATATATGGATGAAAGAAAAACAACATTGTTTGACTTTATTTTTCTATATTTCCGATGTGATGATACGACAGAAAAACTTTTTCTTTTCAACCATACATAGCATGAAATAATTGTACTGCATAACGCTTGCTGTTGTATTCGTTATGTCGATAAGCAGGCTGAATTAATAATGATTTAAGTAGAATATGAAAAAAACGAGCTTTTGATGCTAATACTTCGTGCTCAGAAACATTTACAAAAGGACTTGATGTTGGCTATAATGCTATATCATATTTCATTTCTTGACTGTTGTCAAATTTATCAAATCCATCAGATAATGGATCGACATCAATAATAGGTGAAGCAAATGATGATGAGCAATAAGAAAATAAGCGACCGTTAACGTATTACATCCTCACTTTTTCTTGATTTTGGATCCTGCACTTCCCTATATCACTACTAGCCATTTTTCTGAGGCTCCCATTCCCCATAATATCATAAGAATTATTTGTAAATGCGATATTGAGCATCTACGACAAGTGTTCTGTCACAATGTTTCAAATCTGTACAGGAAAGGAAAACCCATACCGTATAATCGTTTGCACTACCATCGATATACCGCGGTACTTATAAGAACCGTCAGTATATCGATGTTTTATAGACAGTAGCGCTTGCTATAAACGATTGCAGAGAGTGTTTTCTATTGAAACTCGAATTATTTATTAGAAAGAATTCAAATTAACTGAGAAGAAAACAGTTTCAGAATATATATTACTAATACAAATTTTTGCAGTCCCTTCTATAGTCAAAACTTATCCCATAACCGACGCCGATTTGGACTCTGATTAATACAGATGACTCAGACACACCAACTGTATCACAGCGCATCGAAAACGACACAATTCTATCAGTTTTCATAGACTTCAAAAATATTTACCCGTTTTTATACAATACACGATGATACAACATTTTCAAAAATAAAATCGTCGGTACAATGCATATTATACTAATCGATATACTGTCCAATCAAACTTGAAAGTTAAAAAAACGCGTGTATTTGCAAGAAATTTTTTAAAACATGCATTTACTTGCAAAATTCTTTTAATTTGTCTGATCTCATGCGCGATCTTGCAAGACATCTGAAATATTCACAATTTTTGCGTATAAATGCAGGTCAACAACACATGCATGCAAATATAGATTTTTAAGTTTTCTAATAAAACATACAAGATCATGCATGACTCTGATGTTTGTAGATACTTGCATGTGCTGATCTATCATGTTCATGTAAGGTATATGACTCGCGTAGAAATGTCAAAGTATCAGCTGTGGCTACCCACAAGACGACCAGACCATCTTCAACTTGTGCATGTTAATGCAAAAAGGTCCTATTTATGAAACTCAATAGTAAACCGATACTGCGTTGACTTGCAAAATTTTATTACTATTTTGTAGTATACATACTGCTTCATGCAAGAATTTAGTTTTTTCATTGATGTGCAATTATTTATTTCTCGTCAAAATAGTGGGTATACCAGAATGTTTGCAACACGCTGTATTTTGTATAAGTCTCATGAATAAATGATAAAAAGCTTGACTGTTTTTAAAAGATGCTTCGTGATAAATTCTACAAAAAAATACCGGAACAAATCCCCACTAACATGTTTTGATAGTTTTTTCATTTAGTCAAAATGAAATACATACATATTAGTGTTACTTTTCACCGTATTTAAAATAATAAAAACCTCTGGAAGATCATTTCTATTTTGCAGTAGGAATTTGCTCTTACAACTTTTGTAGAGTTTTTCATGGCGCGTTTTTTGAAAAAAAATTAAGGTTTTTATCATTTATCCATGCTGAGATATATGCAAAATACAGCATGTTGCAAACATTTTGACACAT